GACAGTAATTTCAACAATGTCTTATTTGCGCATAAATTTTCATTTGGCTTCACAGCTGGGCGTACAAGTAATAACTACATTTTCTAACTTTTGCTTACTTTTCCCACTTTTCCTCGCCTTGCGTTCATTTGCGGCAAGCCGGTGTGCGAAAAATTGTGTGTCTCAAAGTTAAGCACTTTTAATTGCTTCGCATATTTTGCCAAGGCAATATGTGTTAGTTTGGATTAGAATTTGCATTTGATCATGACCTAGGAGTATTTTAACCTTATTGATATAACAGATGATGTAAACCGTTTCTCTTGCTATTTGTTGGTTTATATTTATATATATATATATATATATATATTAATCGATAATAAATATTAAGTGATAAAAAACCATAATTAATTAAGCGATTAACCAACAAATGAAGCGTCCATTTTTGGCAAACCATTTGCCAAACTTGCCTTGGAATGTTATAAAAGAGTCGTAAATTTGCTTTGCAAATATTTAAATGAAAATGCAATCGTACTACATTTGACTTTATTGTTTCGTGCATTTTGTCAAAATACTAATTTATTTCAGCTGTAGCTATTACAAAGCCTATACTCAATCAATTATTGCAAAATAAAACATTTATGCAAGCAAGTTCGTTGCTTAAGTCTTTTGATCTCCTTTAATTAGGGCAACTTTTGTGCGAGAGACAAAAGCTTTATGTGGCAAATTCGTTTATAAAGACAGTGTGATTGCTTAAACGTTTTATAAAGCTTCATTTGTAATGTTAGGTATCCTTTGCAAACAACAAATTTGCATTTAAATGCTGAGACAAATGTTTGCATTCAAATAACAAATGGGCGAAATAGAAAAAAAAATTTTAATTAAAATAGTTGTAAGCTCAAGCTGGAGAAAATAGATGATATATTGCTTAAGGTGATAACAATAACATTATATAAAATTAAAAATAATTTAGTGATAGGCTAAACCAATCGTAATGACTTTAGCGGACAGGTAAGCATCAAAGGAACCAGAAGGACATCAACGCAAGTTAGTCCCTTACTTTTTGATATATCGCTATGAAATTTTGTACACGTTTTTTTCGTTCTAAAAAGCTGTTTATTTGTCGGAATCGCTGATATCGGGTCATTGTAGCATATGGCTGCCATACAAACTTAACGACTAAAATCCAGGCTTTGTATGGAAAATATTTTTATTTTAAAAGATATCCTTACGAAATTTGGCACAGAATACTACCTAAAGCAACGGTAAAATTTATGAAAAACATGTCCAGATGGAGTCACTATAGCATACAGCTGCCATACAAACTGAACGATCAAAATAAGGGCTTTGTGTAGAAACTTTTTATTTGATGAGCTATCTTCACAAAATTTGACGCCAACTATTATCCTAAGCAACGTTGTAATCTGCCAAAACAAATTTGCTAATTGAATCACTATAGCATATACCTACCATACAAGCTGAACGATCAAAATTAAGTTCTTGTATGGAAAACTTTTTTATTAATTGAGCTATCTTTACGTAATTCGACAGAAACTATTATATAAAGCAACTTTGTAATTTACTAAAAAATTATTCAAATCGGAACACTATAGCATATAGCTGCCATACAAACTGAACGATCAAAATAAGGGCTTTGTGTAGAAACTTTTTTATTTGATGAGCTATCTTCACAAAATTTGTCGCCAACTATTATCCTAAGCAACGTTGTAATCTGCCAAAAAAAATTTGCAAATCGAATCACTATAGCATATACCTACTATACAAGCTGAACGATCAGAATTAAGTTCTTGTATGGAAAACTTTTTCATTTATTGAGCTATCTTTTCGTAATTCGACAGAAACTATTATATAAAGCAACTTTGTAATTTACTAAAAAATTATTCAAATCGGAACACTATAGCATATAGCTGCCGTACAAACTGAACGAGCAAAATCAAGTTCTTCTATACAAAGTTGTTTATTTGTGCAGCTTTGTTTTTTTTTTTTGTTTTTGGTTTGTCGCGAAATCGGCATTCCTTCAGTTCCTTCTCCAACAACATTCAACAACTCCAAAAAACTTTATATTATTTTTGCACGCTTTCCTTCATTCACTCTACACTACAAACTGCTTCTTTTAACATACGAACTTTATCGTCTCTTTTTCTTTATGCATACTTTTGTTCTTTGTTATTGCCTTACGCTTGCTCTTCGGCGTTGTTATTTGCATTTTAATTATTCGCAAGTGATTTCGATCAATTTTCACATGAATTGATGAGTGACTGTTTCGATTCACAAACATATAATGCCGCTATGTGACTCGGCTAGCTGCCACCCGCGCACGTGCTGCCTTAGCTCGCGTTTGTGCTGCAGAGTGCATTCAACTTCCTAACTGTCTGCRGCACTCACACGTAAATATTGATAACTATACATGCATACATATATACGTGCCTACATATACACATACAAGCGTACATATTACATATCTTCACTCAGTGTTTTATCGCTTAAAGTGCTTCTGTTATGTCAGCTAATCATGATCAAATGGCTTAGCTGATTATATAAGAAGAAAGTACTTATGTAATGCAGCATTAAAGCCGCATTTAATTCTCTCAACACCGACAGATTGGCATATTCTTACGCACAGCAGCGATTTTGCGGCGGTGTCATTGCCATGGCCATCGGCGCGCCTGGCGTTCATCATAAGCACGAGCGTGATTATCATCACCTCCACACCGGTCGCACTCAACGCACATAAAGCACAACATTTTACCACCCGGCGTGGGACATTGCCATTGCTACCGTCAACGTCAACTTCAACGCTGTGGTAGCGTTAGCACGTAGCGCTGAGCGACCGACCAACCGTCAAGACGGTCACCCGTTTTGGCGGCAAAATTTATGCGTGAGACTTGCGTGCTGCTACTTTTTTTTGCTTCATTTCTACGCTTGGCCACACGCTAAGCGTCAGTTTACTGTTTGTTCTTGCTGTTTGTGGTATGCCATTCGAGCGCTTACTTGCTTCATTTAAATTTTTGGTAAATTTATGTTTGCCTCCGCATATTTACATACCGTAATATATGTGTGCATGTATGTGCGCGCGCTGCGTCTCCTATGAATCAGCTAAGCGCTAACGTATGTCCCTATAATTATAGTACACACTGTGCCGTTGGTTTTGCAAGGCTTTCTCGTTGTTGTCCTTATTGTTGTTATTTTTAGTTGTTGCTTTATACATCGCTTGTGTCGACTTCAAGTACACGCTTGCGTATTGCTGCGCTGTGTGGTTGCGCGCGCTTATTCTAGTTTGCCAGCGTCTTGCGCGTCACCAATTTTAGCCAATTCATGCTTTGCCCGGCTTTTAACAGTTATTAATTGCTTGTAGCCAATAAATTGTGTACATGCAAATTCCGCAATGTCTTTGCTCTCTCTTACCCCCTGTGCGGCTCGCCGAACGTCTACAGTTAACATTTGTAATTCGTTTAGTGCGCGGTGTTCTGGCAAATTTACGTTTGGTGACGATCTTTATTTGGTTGCCGCTGTGCCAAATTGCGTGTTATTCATACCCAAATGGCAAACATTGTGGGGTCATTAAAATTTTGATTCATTATGAATACTAACACATTAGATTCGTTGCTATTTTTGACACGGAAACGCAACTAAGGCAAGGCGCTCCACGCGGTGCGCTGATTTATGAGGACCGTAGAGAGATTCAAATGAATTGAAGTGTTGTGTAGTTCTAGGAAGGTATGAAAAGGCTTGAATGCGTTGTACATGAACGAGGTACGGGTTCGGAAAGCAATGTAGGAATAACGCAAGCAGAGGAAGCATACCTTTGCAAACAAAAAAGTTTCCTTACGAAGACTTGATTTTTATCAGTGAATTTGTATGACAGCTATATGCTATAGTAGTCTGATTTCAATAATTTTTCGGGAGATTGCACAACTGGTATAGGAAATAACAAATACCAAATTTGGAGAAGATTCGTCGTCAATTGAAAAACTTTTCCATATAAGAACTTGATTGCGATCGGTCACTGTGTATACGAATAGCAAATATATGATATAGTGGTCCGAGGATCACATTTCCGACAAGCGGTCAGCGCCGTGGGAACAAAAAAATGTGTGCACATTTTCAGTTAGATATATCAAAAACTGGCAAACATGACTAAATCGACTCAGTTCATAATGCTAGTTCCGGCTGTAAAAATACCTCTGCTTTTTAGAAGTGTCTCCACGGAAATAATCTAGGTTCATGTCGAAAATACACAAATTACACAGTTTCCAGGACAAACTCTGCTGATAGGTAGATAAGGTAGCGATAGCTTTGTCTACATGTTCCTACAGTCACCTAGAAGACCTTAGAAATCCACTTTTTTGTTAATATCTTAGAAGTCCATTATGGCAAGAAGCAGGTCTGTGCTGTTCTCAGACAACATATTTCGCTAAGGAATAAACTGTGTCATCGGGTTTTTGGTAAATAAGGCTATATAATATATGAATCAGGTTTAAACTCTAATGACCGATGAAGCTGCGTTAAGGAGCTTAGTTATAACAAGAGAAGTATGAGAAGCGATTACTAAATCTCATCCCATCAGAGTTAGTTGAGATAGGGTTAGTTCAGGTGGGCTTCATTAAAAAATCGATCCTCTCAGTTGGACAGATATTTTTTCTTTGTGTTACCCAAAAACTCCTTAAGGTCCAACACCTCATAGTTCACCGAAGCGTTTTAATTTCACCACAAATTCATTAAGTCGGTCAATTTCAACCACAGCCACTTCGAATTATAATATAAATTCTGCATAAACATTATAACTTCAATTAGGGCTCATTAGCTACAAATTGTCTCCCCACCGCTGAAGATTGGTTTTCAAAAGAAACCACAGCAACAGCTCACATCTTCTGAAACTTGGTTCGAACATGCCAGCTGCAACACCATACAAGTTCCAACACAATTGGCCAAACACCAAGTTTCGACGAGAAGACACCAAAGTTGCTGGCCACAGTGCAGTAGTCCAAACGCGCACAACACGCAGACAGTCTGCGGCAGTCGAGCGAAGTGAACGGACGTGTTAAGCGGATTGCGCACAAACGTTGGCGGTTAGAGCGCAAGCAATTTGCACGCGAACAAGTAACGAGTGAAGTTAAATCAAGTTGAACGGTGCTTACGATTTACGAAAAATAACGAGCCTTAAAGTGAAAAGAAAAAAAATTATACTATAATTGAGTTGGCAAGTGAATTCAGTAACTAGTTCAATTAGGCTGTGTCGCTTTGTATGTATGCAACCGATGCAACGACAGACTGTGTGTGCGCGCAGCAACAGTTGGGCATGCTCCGTCGAGTGGCACGGTCGTTAGACGGCTGCCAACACGAGAACCTAAGTGAAAAGCCAACGCCGAGCGCGTATGTGAATGTGCCAAGCGAAAATGTGTGCAAAACAGCGCGGCATGCCATAAAGAAGAAAGTGACTAGCCGGCAGACGGTTGAAACGACAAAGCTCAAGATGACGCACGCGATAAATGTGGTTCCGCAACGCGGCTCATGGCAGCGCGCCATATGGCCCATGACCTTGCTGTGCTGGTGTTTTATTATATTAGGCAATGCGCCAGCAAATGGGCTGAACTACGTCGTTGACACGACCGGGAGTGAAGAGCTGAACACGCAAGCCGGGGCTCGAGCCATGGGCTTGTACGGGGCACGCGAACCGCGTTTCGGTGATCGTTTGTTGCCGTTGCGCAAAAAGACCGGTGCGATAGCGAATGTGGCGGCGCCCAGGCAAAGGCAAGTGAATAGTATTTTGAGTAAAAGTAATTATGTGGTCAGTTATGCGAGTGCTAATACAAATAACGCGGCTACAAGTGCGAAAGTTACGGCACGTGCCGCAAACACAAACACAACTGCTGAAGTGAATGTAGCGCGTAATAACGAAGTGGGTGTGAGTGTTAGTGTTGAGCCCAAAACTGATTTGTATACAATGGAGGTGCATCAAGCTGACTATACAGCACCGCCAGTGACCGCAGAACGTCGTGGCAAGCAGCTGAGTCGACGCGAGGATACCAACATCGGCGGGCTGTTGCTAGACTCCACTACTTTCAGCAGTAAGGACACGAATATTTCGAAAGCAGATCGCCTAGTAGTCATGTCCACCGAGTTCTTCGTAGTGCCAACAAGCACACCACTACCAACCAACGCGCATCGAACGAGAGCGCCAGCACGCACAGGTGCTAAGGCGGCAGTACTGCCTGACTATATACAGCCACCGCCTGCCGGTGTACCGACTGCTGGACCACGTTCGGTGTTAATTGTAGCGCCGCGGCCGTTGAATATCTCGAATGCAGCGAATAGCATCAGCGCGGGCTTGCCACCGTCCATAGTGCCCACACATCTGCCATTCACTGGGCTGCGCAAGGAGCCTTGGGTAGTGCCCGTGCTGGTATTGGCCGCACTCACAATGCTAATGATGACAGCCTTTGAGATTTTTGTGCTGTTCAAGGCGTGGCGTACGTCACCTTCGCGCCGCCATCTGTTTCTCGGTCAGATGCTACTGTTGGGACTGTTTGCTTGCGCCGGACTGGGTGCCGTGTTAACAGCGCAACCCTCACTGCTCAGCTGTGGCGCAATACGTTTCGGCGTGGGTGTTGCTTATGCGCTGGTATTTGCGGCATTACTCGTCAAGTGCGTCTTCCTCATTAGTCTCAATGGTGGCGTGTACCTACCGGCACCCTATCAAGGTTTACTGTTGCTCTTCGCCGTGCTCATACAAGTCGCCATAGGCACACAGTGGCTACTCACACAACCGCCGGAGATCTATACGCAAAGTGTACCCATACTTGGTAATAGCCTGTTGGCACCAACCGTAGCTTCCAGTAGCGCCACATCTGCGGCGCATACTTTCGCAGCGCTTTTTCAACCACACAGCGCTACACCCAACAATGGGCCGTCCGCAGCAGCGCTCGGCTCCAGTCTCGGCTCGGATCTGTATGCACGTATCACTGCAGCCGGTACGATGCTGATACCGTTATGCAAAACACAATTCTCGGAGCTGCTCTTTTCGCTCATCTACATTGTCTTCCTGATTGTGTTCGTCGCCGTGTTGGCCATCAAATCGCGTGGCATACGCGACAATTATCGCGAGGCCACCTACATTGGTTTGGCCATTGGCGGCGCTATACCCATTTGGTTGGGCTGGATGCTGTGCGGTTTGGCGGTGGCGGATCGCCATAAGGATGCTTGTATTGCTTTTGGTCTAATAGCGACATCAGCAACTGTCTTTCTAGTTATGTTTATGCCGAAAGGCCGTCAACTGGCGGCTATGGGCAAGGAGGGTCTGTACGTGGAGGATCGTGAGGAGCAGTTCAGCTCGCTGAGTCGTGCTGGCTCCGGTTACTCACCCTCATTCTTCCACTTTAAGCCGATCAAGTACGGAGTAATGGGCGGCGGCATGCAGAATTCGGCAACAAATACGGGGAACGGCGCCAGCATGAAGCACTGCTCGAATGGTCTGGGTGGAGGCGGCGGAGGTGAGTGATATATGAAATAGCAGAGTTTTAATTTAAGTTTAATTGTAGTTAATTATGAGTTTTGGGAACCATGAGATTCATCACAGCAGTGCGTGTGTTTTGCTCCTGCAAATATTATCATTTGTTTTTTTAAATTTTTATTTTAAGAAGTAGTCTCATCTGAGCTTAGACTCTCTTGAGTTGAAAGTTACGAAATGACTATGTTATAGTGTAATGTAGATTGTCGATCTTGACAGGGATTTCATAGAACTCAGTCCGTGCGTTTCCTTTACTATGTTATGTTAGGTTAGGTGGCAATGCGAGGTCGATCCAAACAGAGATTTCATAGAACGTCAGCCCGTGTGTCCCGTCTCTACTAGTTTAGGTTAGGTTAGGTGAGGTTAAGAGGTCAATCATAACAGAAATTTCAGAGAATGCCGGTTCGCATCTCTGTGGTTAGGTAAAGTTAGTAGAAGTTCAGAGGTCGATTCTAACAGGGAGCCGGTCCGTCGTTTTTCCTTAAAATCCTGTATATTAGATCTTTACGAATAGACAAAGACTCTTCCAAAGGCTGTTCAATGAAGCATAAAGTGATTGAATGTTTTCACCTTATTTTCCTATAGGTTTCACCTATTTTTATAATTAGGATCCCAGAAGCTTTTGGCCTACTGAACTAAGTTCTGTAAGAACGCCAACTACTGCCGTAAGATGAACGTTGCTAAGCGCAAGTATTTCAGAAGATTTTCTGCGATCACCTTTAGGCCAAAAGGCTCTGCTGTCAGCAGACTCGTTAACATACCGATGTGAGCGGGGTGAGGTTACCGCCCCTGGCTAGCTCATCGGATCTGCTGCCGCACGGAATTCGATCCCATACTGATGTGAGCAGCGTAAGGCTGCTCAATCTAGCTAGCTTATCGACTTTGCGGTTCCCAGAGATTCCGTTATGACCAGACAACCAAACCAGTCTGATGAAAAAAATGTTTGATGATACTTCCAGAGAGAACAGACACTCCTTGACTAACTTTGAGCACACAGATAGCGAGATAGCGCTCTACTAGTTGAAAAGACTCTTCAGTAATAGTTCGTGAGCTTTAATCCTAAGCGGCTTGAGGAAAAAAGATATTAGGTGAGCAGTAGAGGACTTCGGTTACCGCCTATTGGTTTTACCATAATTACTTTTATACTCTTAGCTTTCCCGACATATGTAAGTACAGTGAAGTGAAAAAATGTGAAAAATGAAAGTGCGAGTAGATCTTTACTTTCCAACAGTAAATCGCATTAGCGGAAAAAGATTTTACCATACAATGCTTTCGCGTAAGTAGCACGTACTCGACGCAAAGCAACAACCTACGGAGAAATGCCTAAAACACAACGCAAAGCTATGAATGCAAAGCTTAAAAAAAACTCTGTATATAATCAAAAGCAATAATAACAACAAAACAAAATGTTTGCAAATTGCATGGCGTATTTTCTTTGCTGCCCCTTTTGGCCTAACTGCAGCTTTGCTTAATTCCGCTGATGCTTGCATTATTCAAATGCGCCGCGCGCTTAGAAAACATGTCACTCACATGTTGCGTCTACGTCACAGCGTAGCATCGGGCGCCTCGTCAAACGAGAGATTTTGCTGTCGGCAAGACGGCAACTCAGCAAGCAACAATAGCAACAAATGGTTTTGTTGTTGTTGTAGTCGCATGCATGCGTTTTATTTACATGTGACTTTGTTACACACGGCTGTTGTTGTTGGCTTGACTGACTGCCGTGTTGCCAGCGCAACCAAGCATGGCCGGCAGCATGGCATGCCGAGCGGTAAATGCCTGCGCATATGCGTATGTGTGTGTGGTCACAGCAGTGTGTAATTTGTATGCGTGCGTGCGTTGCCTGGAAATGTGCGCTTTTCCGCATTTTAAAGCGTTTTCCCACTTCACACACGCCCATGCACGCTCCAACGAGACTTAGTGTGTTTGACAAGACGCTGAGTGAATATACTATATATGTATATATACATGTGTCTAACATATGGTTTTGCTTGCAAGCGCGTCATTTCAATTCCGCTTACAAATGTGCCACTCTCCACTTGCCTTTCAGTCCGCAGCTTGGCGTGCGTACAAACACTACAAGCCAATTGCGCATGCGCGGTAACCTTTAATTATAATAAATGAAAGTATATGCGTGTACATGTGGCCAGCAAAGAAAATGATTTATTTTTTTTTCTATGCGTATTTAAGCAGCGTTTCGTGCGCGCAAACATGACAGCTGTCATGTTGTTAGTCATTTTATTTTTTATTTGTATTTTTTCTCACTTCTTTTCCACATCGCTCTTTCAATAAATTTACGCTTTTTCGTGCTTTTTAAGCTTTAAATAAATATAAATTAGAAAATCTACTTATTTCAAGAACGTTCTACATTCTTCATCAATCTTGCGCTGTTCGTAAGTTAAACTGCGTTGTTGTTGCCCTTTCTTGTTTTCTTGTTATCGTCAACTGCACGCTTAAGCCCTTTTAATGAGTCAAAGACACGCATGAATACCAGAAAGGCAGCAAAGTCTGTATGCCTGTATCAAAATGGGATTTACATATGCTCAGCGCAGAGATTATGTAACAAATAAAAAAGGCAGCGCTTAACTTTTATTTTGTGCTTGTTTGCTGTCTCATTATCTGATTAAGCTCAGAAGCTATAATATGCTTCAAAGTAGAAGGGTTCCCATAGAAGATCTTGATTGTGATGGCTCACTTTGTATGGCAGCTATATGTTATAGTGGTCCGATCTGAACAATTTCTGCGCAGATTGTACCGTTATCATAGTAAATAAGCCATGTCGAATTTCGTAAAGATATGTCTTCAAATAAAAAGGGTTTCCATAAAAGGATTTTGTTGCGATTGTTCAGTTTGTAAGGCAGCTATATGCTATAGTGGTTGGATATAGGTGGTTGCGACAAATAAGTAGCTACTTGGGAAGAAAAGGACATGTGAAAAATTTCCGATAGTTATCTCAAAAACAGACATAGAAAGGGACGAACATAGAATTATCCTCAAATTTTGTATTTCTAATCAAATTTCATGTGCGAAATTGTTGCGAATGTTGGAAAAGGCTTACGGTGATTGCGGTTTGTCAAAAACACAAGTCTACGAGTGGTACAACAACTTCAGAAACGGTCGAAAAAATTGTTGAAGACATGCCTCGTTCAGGGCGACCCTTTTCAACTGATGTAAATATTAGAAATGTGAAGGATATGGTGCTTAAAAATCTTCATGCAAGTGTTGGACAGATGGGTAAAGAGCTCAACAATTCTCGGTAGTCCATTTGACTGATTTTGGTGCATATATTTTGGGTATGAAACGCGTTCTTGCTCGACTCGTCCCGATGAAACTGAATTTTTTTCAAAAAGAGTACCGGTCGGTCTCTTTGAATAGAATTAATTGATTGATTGCGGATTCCGATCTCACATTCATGGAGACTGCCGATGCGATATGTGTTCATGAGCTTGACATACTGAAAAGTCAACATTTATCGGAATGGAGAGAAAAAAACGAGCCGAAACCAAAAAACAACCCGCCAAAACCACTCAAAAATCAAGGTGTTGCTTTTTGCCTTTTGCAATAGGCGTGGTTTGGTGCATCATTAATTTATTCCTCGGAGCAGTGTTCTCAGTTATCCAAGAAAGGTCTCTGCTAGGATCATCCTCATCCTCCCAAGCTTACTCAACTGTACTTTCTTTAGTTTGAAGCTCAAAGTGGGTTTTGTTCGATTTGTGAGGGTCTCATGAGCAATTGCATAGGACTTTTAGCTATCATAAAGGTTTCAAGCCAAGTGTGATCCCTGTTAGGAGTAACCTCTCAACCAAATCTCATCTAACATAACGTCATCTCTTTAGCGCCATTTATATTGTGGAACTGTATGTAGAATCTGAGCTGGCCATGCAAGATTCCTGCTAGAATCTGCATAACCTAACCTAAATTTTTCTCTTTAGCTCGATTTGAAACTGTACCAAATTGTTCAAAAAAAAAAAATAAAAACAAAAAAAAATAATTATGCACGACTTCGATTGAAAAAGTCGAACTGGCGCTAAGCCATTTGATTTACTACTACAGCCGCTTGAATTGACTTGCTGACCTTGAAGTGAAAATGGTGCAACAACTCAAAAATTCGCAAAAAAAAAAATCAAAATAAATACTGTTATGAATCGCTAACACTGCTTTATGTTGAAATAACTTCAGCACAAAGGCTTAAACAATGCAGCGCGCTTATCTGCCAACAACAATCGCCTGCGTCGCTTCTTCGCTGTCAAATTAAACATTAATTGCTATTCTCCATTGATTTCAACCATCAAATTCAGCTTCAGCGCACACAAAGTGAAACGCGCGCTGCGCTACATGGCGTGGCGCCTGTGAAAGTGAAAATTGCATTTGTTCAAACGCTTGCTCGCTCGGCGCACAGAATTCGTGCAGTCGGCATATAGCAAATTGAAAATACGCTGAGAAATCATACGCATTCACTGACCTACTTTTCACGCCACACCACGTAGGAATTTCGAAAATTGCACGCTTTGTCAGAAACGTATTAAAGACTGCGCGCACATAAAGGGTGTAAAGCGTTACTTCTTCGCTCCGCCAAGTTTATTGATTATATTTTCGATTTTATTGCTTTACATACAAAGCATGAGTTTCTTTGCTAACAATGCCGTGACGCACGCAAACACAACAATAACAACAGGACTGCGCCTGCTGGCTAAGGCAGCTTTCTGATTGGCACGCTAATCCCATGGCACTTTTCAATTCACAATTCGCGCTAAACAATGAACAATGCGCAGAGAAAATAAATTAAAAGCACACTCAAAGGTTTTACGTTGCACCCGTATAGGTTTGTGCGAGCTAATGATGTTATAATATTTGTTGTTGTTATAGCGCTGGCGTCTTTATGTGCAAATCGTGCAAATATTTTCTTTACAAACAAGGAATGTGACAAATCGTTAGAGATGAGAGCACTTTCCTTTGTTGCTTTTCAAAAAATCAGATTTATTGAGT